AATGACAGATCATGGCTACCTATGATTACTTCTATTAGTCTACCAAAATACATAATGCTGCACGCTGCGTTGTTCGTGATGGCATCACACACGTCACTCAGGCAGTGTATAGATGGCTTTCTCACGCGCAGATCTCAGGTGGAAATCTTGTTTATCTCGCGCTAAATGGAAACACTTACAGTGAGCTGACATCGCTCGGTGTGTTCCGCGGAACATATGTAGAGCCGACGCAGATGATGGACTCCTTGGAGCAGCTGCAGGATGAAGGGCACTTCACTGCCTTTTTGCCCGTGTGTCCCGACGGCACTAAGCACAGCAGCACGGTGGACGCGATCACAGCGTAGCGTTTAATAACAGATCGCATGTTGATGGTGATGGGGCAGTTTGCATGTGTGAGTGAGAGAGCGGATGGAGCTGAGGTGAGGAGGATGAGAGCGGTCCGCCCTGCACCATGAGAATGCAGCAGTGAACCAAAGCTACTGACATCAGCAGTTCAGCTCTCTCTCTCTCTCTCTCTCTCTCTCTCCGTCTCTCTTCTCTCTCTCTCTCTCTCTCTCTAACTCTGTCTCTCTCTCTAACTCTCTCACGCACACTCTCTCTCTCACGCACACACAAACTCTCTCTCTCTCTCCGTCTCTCTCTCTCTCACGCACACACTCTCTATCACGCACACACTCTCTCCGTCTCTCTCTCACACTCTCACGCACACACACACACACACACACACACACACACTCTCACTCTCTCTCGGTCTCTCTCTCTCTCTCTCTCACGCACACACACACTCTCTCTCTCTCACGCACACTCTCTCACGCACACTCTCTCTCTCTCTCTCTCACGCACACACAAACTCTCTCTCACGCACACACACACTCTTCTCTCTCTCTCTCTCTCACGCACACAAACTCTCTCCGTCTCTCTCTCTGTCTCTCTCTCACGCGCACACACACACTCTCTCTCGCACACACACACCTCTATCACGCACACAAACTCTCTCTCTGTCTCTGTCTCTCTCTCACGCGCACACACACTCTCTCTCGCACACACACACTCTCTATCACGCACACACTCTCTCCGTCTCTCTCTCTCTCTCTCACTATCTCTCACTCACTCTCTCAGTCACTCTCTATCTCTCTCTCTTGCACACTCTTTCTCTCTTTTTAGCTCTCTCTCACTTTCTCCCTCTCTCTCACTCTCTCTGCTATATTCCGATCAAGGCACCCAGTGCTGGAGACAAACACAAAAATGGGTAGGAAAAAAAAGGTACAAATCTGTAGCTTTCTCTGTGGCTGGGTGCACTCACCGTCCACTTTAATAGAAACTTCTATGCAGTTATCCAATCATTCAACCATGTGCTAGCAGCACAATGAATAAAATCATGCAGATCTGAGGCTTTCATGGGCACAGGCTAACTCAAACAGTTGAAGATTAGAGGGGTAAAATCACCTGATCTTTTTCCTGTATTCAACTGTCCAATTTTGGTGAATCTGTGCCCATGAAAGCCTCAGCTTCTTGTTCTTGGGTGACAGGAGTGACAGGAAGACAGGAAGAGTGGAATCAGATGTGGTCTTTTGTTGTTGTGGCTTATTCACCTCAAAGTCTGATGTGACATGCATTCTGAGATGCTTTTCTGCTCACCATGGTTGTAAAGAGTGCTTATTTGAGCTTCTATAGACCTTGTCAGCTCAAACAAGTCTGGTAATTCTCCTCTGATCTCTCTTATCATCGAGGTGTTTCCACCTAAAGACCCTCCGCACACAGGATGTTTTCTGTTTTTTCACACCATTCTGTGTAAACTCTGAAATAAAGAGACCGAAATACTCAAACCATCCTTTCTGTTATCAACAACTATCCCCCAGTTAAAGTCATTGAGATAACTTTTTATTTTTTACACATTCTGATGTTTGAGGTGAACATTAACTGAAGCTCTTGACCTGTATCTGCATGATTTTAGGCACTGTGTTGCCGCCACATGACTGAATGATAGGATAACTGCATAATTGAGTACAGTATAAGACCAAGAGTAGTTACACACCTGATCATCACAGCCATATAACTAAAGTTTATCCACCCTTTGCTTTTATAATAACCTCCACTCTTCTGGGAAGGTTCTCTATTAGATTTTGGAGTGGGGATTTGTGCTCATTCAGCCACAAGAGCAGTAGTGAGGTCAGGTACTAATATTGTGTGAGGAGACCTGGCGCACAGTCAGTGTTCCAATTAATCCAAAAGGTGTTCAGTGCGATTGAGGTCAGAGCTCTGTGCAGGCTGCTTGAGTTCTTCCACTCCAGCCTTGGCAAACCATCTCTTTATGGAGCGTGCTTTGTTATGCTGGAACACGTTTGGGCATCTTTGCTTTAAATTTTACATATGGTGTACAATAGGTATACTTTTGTGTGTACTACCTCAGCAACAAGGAATGGTACACAGTGTTGCAGTCAAACTGTCAAAAGTACTTAATATTAAGTTTCAGAACATAAACTCAGAGTGCTCATTAATTTAGGCCAGAAAGTTTTGTTTAGTTTGTGATTCACGTTATCATCACAATATTCAGTGTGGGGATTGAAAGCAGCAGTTAGTTACATCCATCCATGTTCTATACCGCTTATCATACTGGATCACGGGGAACCTAGAGCCTATCCCAGGGAGCATGGGGCACAAGGTGGGGTGCCAATCCATTGCAGGGAATATCACAATCACATACAGACACTTTGGACATGGCCTACATGTGGGAGGAAACCCCTGCAGAACGTGCCAACTACACACACTCAGGGCCACAGCAGGAATCGAACCCCCAACCCTGGATGTGTGAGGCAAACATGCTAACCACTAAGCCACCGTGCGCCTAGCTAGTCACACCTAATGAGCTAAACCAATTTGATTAGAATATGTGTTTGGATAGCCTATATGAAATAAAACTGTCATCTAAATCAAATAAAGCAACACACAAAATGGATGGGGCTTGAAAAGGACGAGAACCTGTTTGTAAAGTGAGATCATCTGACAGAGAGAGAGAGAGAGAGAGAGTGAGTGTGTGTGTGCTGATTATGATGTTCACTGTACCATTCAGCAATGAACATTGTACTGGGAAAGTCAAACAAGATTGATAAAAACATGTATTGATTGAAAAACAAGATAGATAAAAACATTAACACACACCCTACATGTAGGTTTAGGTATGTTACATCTCTTAAAGTCCACCATTTTATTTTGGGGGTACAGAAGAAGGCAATATGTCGTTGTTAAATTCACATGTAAGCTGGGTGTTTAATGTTTAACTGCAGATCAGCACCTCAGAGAGAGATGGGACTTTATTACTGTCAATTCACTGATGAATTGATCCACATGCTGCCACCACTAATAAATTGTAATTAATAAATGTAAAACCCTGGCACTCTGTCCAGGGTGTACCCCGCCTTGTGCCCGATGCTCCCTGGGATAGGCTCCAGGTTCCCGCGCGACCCTGAAGAAGGAGTAAGCAGTAGAAGATGGATGGATGGATGAAATGTAAAACCACAGCATACACTGGGAGGAGCAGTTTTCCCAGTGAAATTGGTACTGGTGCCATCATAAGACTTGAGCTCTGCAGAGAGGCTGATCAATATTTCATAATCATCAAGCACAAGTTAATGTCCGGCTCTTAGTCACTCTGTACAAAATGCTATGGTGCAAAGTCAGCAGCAGGCTATAGAGCAAAGAGTGAGAAGGGAAATAAAAGTGGGTACAGATAGAGTGCAAATGAATAAACTGTTGACTCAGCAGAGAGAGGGAGAGAGAGAGAGAGAGAAAGAGAGAGAGAAACAATTCACAATCCTGGCACTGCAGTGGCAAAGATAAAGCAAGTCAGAAAGAAAAAGTATATTTAAAGTAAAAACAGGAACAAAGGTGGGAGTGGAGAGTAAGCAAAAGGGATGGTTTCAAATCAACTTCCATGAATTATTAATGGCAGTGTTGCTGTGCTGAACATAAAAACCATTATCCAGTGCTGGGAACAGGCTGACTCAACACCTTGTTGCTAGAAACAGATGCTGCACATCTCCTCAGCTTGACAAAAAAAAAATACAAAACTTCGTCAATACTTATACTACAGCGTGTACCAAAAGTCTCCATACATTGGGGAAATGAACACTTTTTAGCAAAATACATACACCAGGGTCGGGGTTTGATTCTGTGTGTGCGGAGTTTGCATGTTCTCCCCATGCTGCGGGGGTTTCCTCCGGGTACTCCGGTTTCCTCCCCCAGTCCAAATACATGTATGGTAGGTTGATTGGCATGTCTAAAGTGTCCGTAGTGTATGAATGGGTGTGTGAGTGTGTATGTGATTGTGCCCTGCGATGTACTGGCACCCTGTCCAGGGTGTACCCCACCTTGTGCCCGATGCTTCCTGGAATAGGCTCCAGGTTCCCCGTGACCCTGAAAAGGAGTAAGTGGTAGAAGATGGATGGATGGATCTCACAAAAGTGAGTACACCCCTCACATTTTTGTAAATATTTGATTATATCTTTTCATGTGACAACACTGAAGAAATGACACTTTGCTACAATGTAAAGTAGTGAGCGTACAGCTTGTGTAACTTGTGAATTTGCTGTCCCCGCAAAATAACTCAACACAGCCATTAATGTCTAAACTGCTGGCAACAAAAGTGAGTACACCCCTAAGTAAAAATGTCCAAATTGGACCCAAAGTGTCAATATTGTGTGTGGCCACCATTATTTTCCAGCACTGCCTTAACCCTCTTGGGCATGGAGTCCTCTTCCACTTCTCCATGACCACATCACGGAGCTGATGGATGTTAGAGACATTGTGCTCGTGCTCCTCCACCTTCTGTTTGAGGATGAATCATGTCTGGATCGGGTAGCTGTCACAATGTTGTAATAGACTTTAACAGGAAACATGGCACCACATCACGCATGACACTGCTGCCAAACTTATTAACAAATTCAAAAAGACTGGAAATGTTGACGGCCAACCAAGAAGTGAACGTCCACGTACATCCCGTGGTTTCTGTAGTGTAGTTATCATCACGTTTGCCTAACACGCAAAATGTCCCTGGTTCTAGACTGGGCAGAAACAAGCTGAAAATCTTGGGGCTGTGGCTCAGTTGGTAGAGTGGGTTGTCCACCAATCATAGGGTTGGCGGTTCAATTCCCACATGACACCACATGAAGTTGGGCAAAACACTAAACCCCAAGCAGCTCTGCTACCGTTGGCGTGTGTGAATGGGTGAATGAGACACAGTGTAAAGCACTTTGGATAAAAGCGCTATATAAGTGCGCCATTTACATCCACTGACAAAGGCACAACCGATGTGTTGCTGGCATGCTGTACACAGTCCCCTATGTATGGAGACCTCTAGGACACCCTGGACATCTGGAACTAGTTTTTCCTTATTAATGAGAATGATGAAAAACAATGGAATATCGGTTTAACCTCCTAAACCCATTGGAACCTTGTATGTACAGGATGTGCGAAACGTCAGGAGTAACAAGAACTACCAAGAGCATTATCTCTACCCTCTCATCGGATATTAATGCCATTTTACCTATAAGGAAAACAAATCTAAAAATGTGTGTTCATAAATAAGTAAATAAACAATAAACACAGAATCACATATTTGTAATTTAAATCCCACTGGCTCCTGACTTTTCAGACACCTTGTAGTTACTGCATAATAAGACTTACACTCTTAGCAATAAAGGTTCCATAATGGTTCATTGGATAGGTAAGGGTTCTAAGCAAGTGATTATGCTTGAAAAGTACTTCTGATATGCTTTGGATATGCTTCTGAAACTACTCCATTTGTATAGAGAATAACATAGACCCTGGCATTAGTGTGGAGATTGGAAACTGAGGAAGTTAGTCCAGTAATTTAGGTGTGCATAAATACCTATAGTTCAGAACAGGAAAAAAAAGAAATGATACCTTTAGGATGGCAAAATGGCACGGTGTTTAGCATTGTTGTCTCACAGGTCCAAGGTCCCTGCTTCAATCCTGAGCTCCACTCCAACTCGTTTCTTCCCACTTCCCAAAAACATGATGATAGGTGGACTTGTTATGCTATATTTCCTGTAGGTGTGAATGTGGGTTTGCATGGTGCTCTGAACTGGACTGGTGTCCCATCTATTGTATGTGTAATGAGTAATGCAGTGAAACAGAAAAATGTAACATTGCATGAGTAATGCAGACGTAAGGATTAGCAATCAGGTGGCATGTACCAGATAATGAACTCAGGCAAGTCAATTCAAGTGCAACAAAACAGTCCCTGCTTCATATCTCATACTGAAATTAGAGAAAATGCTTACAATGCTTACTTACACACTGTAAGTCAATTAGTAGAGGTGATTGTGCATTTCAGTTCTTGTGGCTTCTATTCAATTCTTCAGGTATAGGCTTCATAACCTCTCATATGTTTCCCTGTAGGCTTCCCATTTGTATTCTAAACAGGTTCTTATCCTTTGCAGTAGCACACTTTTATATCCAGTGCTACTGATCCACAGCATAGCGAGTAAGCATATATTTAACTATTAGACCCCTTATTATATCCTTCATCAACTGCAGATGTGGATCAGTAATACCAGCTGGGTGTATGAATATAGCCAGGTACAGAGCAGTCTTTTTATTTTATTTTTTTTAATTAAACATTTTTGCTGACCTTCTGATGAACATTTCTGTTGAACTGCTAAGCCTATCTAAATCGCCTTTACTGTTCTGTCCTCCCCACCCTTTCCCAAAAATACAAACAAAATGAGCACCAGCAGTAAATATTCACAGATTTTTTTCTTTTTATACAAAGAAAAACAAAATTGAACCCACAACCCACCCCTCCGGTTTCATCATGGCTACCCATTAACTGTCGCTGGTTATAGAGATATTATAAAATTCAACAACAGGCACCAACCTTTAAGTGGGTAGTGTCTGTAACTCCATAAAGTATGCAATAAAGGGATGCCATTTATGAAAAAACTTATCAGTACAACCATTCATCGTATATCTTATTTTCTCGAGTTTCAGAAAAAACATCACGTCCTTTATCCACTGAGAGATAGATGGGTATTTAGCAGACTTCCAATGTAACAGTAGGGAACGTCTTGCTATAAGGGATGTGAAAGCAATAACATCCTTTTGTATTGAGCTCAAATGAACTGAAGCTTCAGGAATCCCAAATATCGCAATCAATGGACAAGGCTTTAAATCTACCCTGAGAATAGTGGACAGGATGGCAAAAAGCCAGACCAAAAACCATGGAGTTCAGGGCAGAAGAAAAACATATGGCCAAGATGACAGGGAGAGCCATGGTATTTATCACACTTGTCCTCTACATTCGGATACATCACAGACAATCTCGACTTGGACAGATGTACTCAATTTAAAACTTTGAACTGTATAAGTCCAAGATGAGCACAATTCGTGGTAGTCTGTACCCTCCCTATAGCATGTTCCCAACACTCCTCACTTATTTGTACTCGTAATTCCGTTTCCCACGCATTCCTAATTTTATTACTCGACCCACTACTTTGCGTCAAAATAAAATCATAAATCTTAGAAATCATTCCTCTCTGATGTGGGTTATTTGAAAACAGGTCTTCCCAAGCCTGTTCTGAAGGAGCAGAAGGGAAATCAGGAAAACATCTAGAAACGAAATTCCGTATTTGAAAGTACCGAAAGAAATGTGTCAAGGGGAGATCGTAAGTGGATGCCAAATTGGCAAAGCTATCAAACACACCATCAGAATACAAATTTCTAACTTGTTTAATACCCTTGTCATACCACATTGAAAATGAGGAGTCCAAACACGAAGGGGGAAATAGATGGTTGTCCACTAAAGGACACAAAGAGGATGCACCTACAAATTTAAAATGTCGTCTAAATTGATACCAAGTCCTAAGTGTGCTGAGGACAACAGGGTTATCAGTATATTGGAAAAATTTGTTGGTAAATAGGTGTATAGTAGAGCAGGTAAAGAGGATTCCCTACAAGAAGATAATTCCAATTTAGACCAAGAAGATCCAGGAGATTGAACCCAGTAACAAAGTTTATGGATGTGTGCAGCCCAGTAATAGAATTGAAAATTGGGTAATGCAAGTCCTCCCATAAGTTTACATTTCTGCAGTAAAGATTTACTAACCCTTGGTGGCTTCCCTCCCCAAATAAATGTATTAATTATCTTATCCAACGAATCAAAGAATGATTTTGGGAGAGAAAGAGGCACTTGTTGGAACAAGAAAAGAAACTTCGGTAAAATATTCATTTTGACGGCGTTGATCTTGCCAATTAGGGAAAGTGGTAAGTTACCCCAACTCTGAATGTTAGATTTAACCTTTGAGATAAGGGGAGTGAAGTTAGCTGATAGAAGATTAGATAGAGAACGTGTCACGTTGATATCTAGGTATTTAAAACCTGCCTGACTAAATCGAAACGGTAGATCTGACTGTTGGAGAGACAGAGCTGGAATATTGACAGGGAAACAGTCGCTTTTATCTAAATTTAGTTTATAACCAGAGACAACAACAAAAGACTCCAGAACATCCAAAACAGAAGGCATAGAGGCGGTAGGATCAGTTACATACAATAACAAATCATCAGCATATAGCGACAATTTGTATTCTACCCCGTATCGAACTATTCCTTTACACAAGGAGGAAGATTTTAGTGCAATAGAGAGCGGCTCGATGGCAACAGCAAAAAGCAGTGGGGATAAAGGACACCCTTGGCGACACCCTCATCCGAGCGCAAAATAATCCGAATAAGTATCGTTTGTCTGAACTCTAGCATAAGGGGTTGAATAAAGGAGGCTAATCCAGGAAATAAACTTGTGCCCAAATCCAAACTTCCTCAGGACTGCAAACAAATACTCCCATTCGACCCTGTCGAATGCTTTTTCAGCATCCAATGAAATCACAATCTCAGGGTGAACAGCTGAATGCTTTGAATAAATTAAATTAAAAAGTGTACGGGTATTGAAAAACATTTGACGTCCCTTTATAAAACCGTTCTGATTTTTTAGATATAATATAAGGAAGTACATTCTCTAACCGAGATGCCATTACTTTCGCCAACACCTTTACATCTGTATTCAGCAGTGATAGCGGTCTATAAGAACCACAGGAAGATGGATCCTTACCCTCCTTTAGGAGCAGAGCTATCGTGGCTTGTGTCAGAGTTGGAGGCAAAGACCCACGTTCCAAAGATTCGTTGAACAAAAGCAATGGAGCTAATTTTCCAATAAACGTTTTAAAGAATTCGATTGGAAACCCGTCCGGAGCAGGAGCTTTGTTAGATTGCATAGATTTAACTGAATGAAAAATTTCTTCAAGAGAGAGTGGGGAATCCAATCGCATAGCAGTATTCGTATCTATAACAGGATTACAGAGGTTTTGAAGAAATGCGTTCACTTTAGTATTATCTGTTGGAGATTCTGACCTATAAAGCGAAGAGTAAAAAGATTTAAAAGTAGCATTAATTTCCATGGGATCTGTAGTGACACAGAGCAGTCTTACCAGTAATAAGCGTTCATTAACTGCACTGGCAATTGGACTGGTTTAGTTCGCATTGAGCAAAATCTCACCTTCCTGTGATACATATAGTAGATCATCAGGAAGGTCTTCAAGTATCATAATATGATATTTATAATGTTTTTGTCACCCCCAGCATCCATAAACCATTAAAGAGCTTCTGTAACTAGCAACCAGGCAGACTATTTAAACTGATTAAATGAAATAGTTTTATTAATAAATGTCTTCAGTCATATTCTGGACCAACTATTTTGGCTTGCTAGAGAAGACAGCAACTAAAAACCTCAGCAGGTGATGCTTTTTAAAGCTACTTTACTGTTTTTGTACAGTTCAGTACAAAACAGGAAACTTAATTAGCTCTTTTATTGAGCTTTGTCCAGAAGAGAAGTGCAATGCAGACAGATTTCACAAACAATCTTTTTAAAGGCGGTATTTGGTTCAGGGAACAGTTTGGTCATCAGGACCTGAAGGCGATGATTCTGACTCACACTTCTCTCCCTTTGTGTCTTTCTTAAGAGCCTTGAGGCATTTGTCCAGCCTTTTGATGGAGAGCTCCACGTC